CGTTGAAACAAGTTATGTTTTTATTATTTATCTGTTATTGGAAGTCGTTGGCATATCATGTACACTACCCCGTATTGGATGAAGGCTGAAACACTACTAGTGCGCTATAAAGTTAATTAGTATTGTAACAGAGTTTACTGCAATTACATTGTAGCTGAAGGGAAACGGGTTTTTCATAAAATATTAATGGACACGTGGCGCCTCTATCGTCTACTTTTTACAGCGCCTTAAATTTCAGCTCAATTCTTCTTTGTTTTGTGTTTGAAAAATGTTCTAGCGGTGCACGATTAAAATCCGCAAATTTTTTCACAAGAGATGTAAATTCCGCTATGATATTCCGTAAATTATAATCGTTTCTCAATTTATGAAAATTAAGTGAAATTTGAAGCTTCGAACTTGGTACTCCGTCGTAAAAATTATGGTAGTTTTCGCAGTTCGTTGATCTTCACTGCGAATGGTCATTGACCACGTTGTTTGTTATGGAGCTATGTTTGACGCTGTCTGCTTTAAGCGAATTTTGCCATAAGTTTATTTCACTCCCACCCAAGGGAAATATCTACGTATAATATTCTGTGCGAGGTCAGTATTTATAACTGACCCGATTTTGTTAATAAAATCTCTCAACTAGTAATAGAGTAGATATTTAAACACTGTAATTGAAGATATGTTGATAATATTTTGTACAATACAAATATTCCCTCTTAAAGGTACGTAAAATCAAATGTAAAGCGTGTCTGAGTTTTTGTTGCTTTTATTTAAGAGTTAAATCTGCATCGGTAAATATGTTAAGACACGGGCTTGTGAACATTTCCTTTACAACTGAATTGCATCTGTTCGAATTCATATTTGCGTCTATTGTTTTACTAGTTGGAAGTAGGACGTGAGCTAACATTGAGAACATAATTTTCTTCTTCAGTATAAATAAAACACCAGTACAACATATAAAAATTGCAGCCACATAACGTGCTGAAGCTTCAAACGAATTTTGTTTCCTTCCACAGTAACAATGATTGTGTTTTTCATGATAATGAAACTGAGAATTTTTATAATGAAGCTCTGAAGTCCTCAAATGTAATGCAGTGTATGTCATGTGGTCTGTTTGTATTATCAACTTTTTATTAAAGAAGAGCGCTACAAAATAATATACTCTTGTACTTGTGGTTTATGAATCCGTCTTGATTTTAATCACAATTATTTTACAGTTTTTTTTTGTGCAGTATTTTCCGTTTGTTTTGAGTTTTTACCCTAGAAATCCCGATTTTTGGGAAAAAATTCGAAATTGCATTATACAATATAACTTCGAAATTACAAAACTGAATGCTCTGAAATATTGCAAATGTTTTAAGGTGATAAATCGTTAATCAAAATTTGTCCCTAATATTTAGGTTTGCCGAATAAATGTTATTCAAATTGATGAATGTTTTTTGGAAAAAAAAAACTGAGTGCGGTTAATTAATTAACTGGTCCTCTTCTCTGTGTTGGCGAGACAAACTTAATCAAATTTCATTTTCTTTTAACCGCTGCTGCTTGTAATCTGAACGTGCTAATAGTCGAATTCTTTCGATGTATAAACATAAGCAGTCGAAATGTCAAATTTAAGCATGTACTGAGAAATTGAAAACGTCTACATTTTTTCCGGCTGGTTATTTTACATTTATTGTAGATTATATTTTCGTTGTGCTGAATTATTGAGGAAAATCTATCTTAAGAAATACTCAGATCCAAAGCCAAAATTTAAAATTATGGGAGCATAATAGATATGTATATATCTCGGCTCTAAAAACACCAATAATAATAATAATAATAATAATAATAAACTTTTGTATCTAGATTCTGTTGTACCAATTTTACGTTTCATGCACCTATTGATAAATCTAGCTAGATCTAGAAGCATTATTTCATGGATGAATACTTTTAGTTTTTATATATTTCCTTGTTGTAATTACTTTTGTATCATATTTTTAATTTTTATTTCTTATATGTCGTCTCATGGATCCTGTATCTTTTTTTCGACATTAAATACATATATTTCATATTGTATACACTTGGAATTTGGGGCTAAGGGGGTGTTAATTGCGCCACTTTATAAAGGTTATTCCAAATCGAAGCTCACAAAATCAAATTTTTAATTTTTGATGGAAGCGGGATTTGTCGGACTTATATTTCAAGGGCGAGGGAAGTTCTGTCGAAATAACCTTCGACCAGTTTTTTTTTACATTGTAACTGGTATTATCTATATTTTTTAATTGATCAAATCGAGAACGATTCACCCATTTACTCGAAAATTTGAGAATAAAATAATGTAGTGCCCACCTATATTAAATAATGTTAAAATAATAATAAATTATCCATAATAACAGCTAGGTACTTCGCCAAAATAATATTCAGAGCATTTTGCTCCATCCTAACTTAATTAATAATTTCAGTCGCCTCCGCTGTTTTTAGAAGGCAGCTTGCTACGTGCTTAATAGTCGCATTCTTTCAATATACCGGGTGTCTGGAAAAGGGCGGATTAACACTCCGCTACGCTGGGAAAAATAGTAAAAAAATTCCTTCTCACATTTTGGTGGAGTCATAAAGATTTTAAAATTAGTTCTTTTGCTACGTTTAACAACTAAAGAACACATGCATTATCTTATCACAATAACTAGTAATAAAACTTTTAGTTAAAATTTCTCTCACCCATGACCACCCTCTATTTTCTTGGGGGGTATGTCATTTGCCAAAATCGATTTTAGATTAGCAGGTGCTAACTCCGCCCACCCACCCTCTGTTTTCTTAGAGGGATCTCATTTGCCAATATCACTCTTATTTTAGCAGGTACTAGCCCTGCCCACCCACCCTCCTTTTTCTTAGAGATTATGTCATTTGACAAAATCAGTGTTATCCTAGCAGCTACTAAACTGAGTTTGGCAAAGGACATATCTTTTAAGAAAAGAGAGGGTGGGTGGGTGGGGCTAGTAGCTGCTAAGATAAAACTGATTTTCGCAGGCCCCGCTCACCCGCCCTCTATTTTCATAGAGGGTACGTCATTTGCCAAAATCGATCTTAGATTAGCAGATAATAACCCCGTCCACCCGCCCTCTATTTTCAAGGAGAGATCTCATTTGCCGAAATCAGTCTTATCCTACTACTAGCAGCTACTCGATTTTGGCAAATGACATATTTTCTAAAAAAAGAGGGGGTGGGTGGGCGGGGCTAGTGGCTGCTAAGATAAAACTGATTTTGGAAAATGACATATCCTCTAAGAAAAGAGAGGGTGGGTGGGTGGGGCTAGCAGCTGCTAAGATAAAACTGATTTTCGCAGGCCCCGCCCACCCGCCCTCTATTTTCTTAGAGGGATCTCATTTACCAAAGTCAGTTTTATCCTACTACTAGTAGCTATTGTCCCCGCCCACCCACCCTCTCTTTTCTTAGAGAGTATGACATTTGCCAAAATCAGTGTTATCCTAGCTAGTAGCTGCTAAGATAAACCTGATTTTGCCAAATTTGATAAATTTTAATAATTTGACGGAGAAATTCTTATAGACCGCATATATAACTTTTTTCTAAAAACATCGGAATTTTGGTTGTATCCCCTTAACAGAAAAAAAATACTGTTTGTTGTAAGTTATTAATCACGAATAGAAATTTTAAGTTGTGTAGATAAAATACAGCGTAACTTTTACGACTGACGAGTACATATGTATTTTTTTTGAGCAATCTTTTAATAATCTTTTGAAAACGTAAAAATAGAGCCAGTTAAAAAATAATCCCGTGCTCGAAAAAATACAGTTTTCTGCGTTAATTTTATTGCGGATTTTTGAAATCCAGGTGATGGACTTTTTGAAATGAATTTGCAACTACTACGTTTCGAGAATTTGTTATTGCCTTCGTCAGATTTCGCCTAGTGTTATTTTTTCCTAATTCCTGCTTTTAAAGTGTAATTTTGTCCATGTCGATTTTAATGACGAAGATGATCAACAACTTCCGTTAATTACGTTAAAGGAAACGTGACTGAAGTAGCAAATGACCTGATTTCGAACAATAACTTTAAAACGTCCGCCGCAGCTTCATGGAAGATATATTGAGATTCAATAACGTTATCGCAAGAATCAGTTTCATCACCCAATTGGAGCACTTCCAAACGAACTGATTCTTTTAAACAATCCTCAGGAAAAATTGACGATATACGGTCTACGTAATGCTAATAAACCATTATAAACGTGCCCGGTGTACTAAATTTTTGTTGTATAGCATTGGGTGTGAAAATACAATTTTGCTTGCTTGCCTAGCAACCGACAGCAATGAAGTCAGACTAGCTTAATAAAATTTGTGTAAATCTTGCAGCCGCACAAACAACATTGTTCATCATATTTTTAATGATTTTAGGGCTTTAATTTTATAACTTTGTAACTTTGTAATCCACTTTCCCCTTTTTCATATCGACGCCGTTTAATGAAAATAACTTCTCCCCTCGTGCTATATGCACGTCTGGTTGTCAATTTAAGATGTGGTTAAAAGTTAACATCTCCAATCTCGGCGTCAGTCGCAAGACATTCTCTATTTATCCGTCAAGTCGAGTTTCCCGAACACATCAGAATAGGGTGGTTTCTGTTAAATGTCACTTAATTACCGAATATAGGGGTGGCGCAACTAAATAACAATCTCCAGAGAGTCTCAAACGACATTATACATGAATTGATCGAAATGGTAGTTTTAATAGGCGCTATCATCTACTCCTGCGATTACGTGCGGTTTACACTCCCCTAATTAATTTCATTTACTCAGCGAAGTGATCATTTTTCATAAATCTACACCATTTTTACCAAAACGACAACGATCGAAGCCAGTTTTGTTACGAGCAAGGATCGTTGCTTTATGGCCTTCTCGCCTTACAAACGACGAGGTGTCGTGAAATAGGATGAATCCTTGTTATTCGTGGTGATATATTGTTCCTTTTTTGCGCCTTTTTCATGAGTCGCGTATAAAGTGTTTAACTTAAGATCTCTTTCTTTCAGCTTGAGGAGCAGAAATTTGAAGGATTTGGACTCGTACCAAGTCAGATTTGTCATATCGAAAGCCTTGGAGGTTTGGTCGAGACATTCCAAACTGACCTTCACGGAAGTTGACAGCGACAGGGCGGATATTCTCATTTATTTTGTTAGGTAAGTGTTGACAAGATGGATTTTCTGATACAGCGTTCGATAAAGACTTAACTAATGGAAGAATTTGTGCATGTTTGCCGGTATTATCGACAATGAGGCTCGTCGCACGAATAATTATTATTTATTTCTCGTGTCAAAACCAATTTGTTTCGATCAAAGCTATTGTTTATAAAATTTTTAAACATGGAGCACTAATACAACTTTGTCAGATTTACTGATCAATATTTGTGTTTAATACAGCGTTCCGTTTATTTGCTCTGTTGATAACAATTAAAACAATGACTGGTGTAGTATGAAGTAAGCACAACGTATTGATTTGTAGGAATTGAAAACTTCCGTTTTATTGTTTTATTAAATTGACTTGGAATGTAGACAATAGTAATCTCTGCGTTTGCCAGATTTTTGTGTAGCAGTAATTTTATTGGAGACCGTATACGTCAAAGGGATGCGGCTCACAAACTTCATAATTCGTTGCTATCAAGATTCCTTTCGTAAAGGTTGACCTATAAACCGTCATGTCACATTTTCGTCAACATTCCTCTGCGTATGTTTTATTTCGTTCGTAATATACATAGGTACCTAGTTTCATTTAAAATGGATGTAGACGTATATTTGCTTTTTTCGTGTACTGTAGATCAAATAAACTTGTCACTTGTCGGGAAACATATTCCTTTGTTATGCAATAAATTTACTTTTGATTAAATAAACAGTCTTTAGGATGGATATTATTTCTCGATATGTCTACAACAATTGATGATATCAGCTTAATACAATAATAATAACGTTTGACTCTAAGAAAAACAGCTAAAATCAGTTCCAGTTCATTGTCAATGTTACACCTGCTGGGTGTTAAATGAAATGTTGAATATGGATATGAAAATAAGTACATATTTCGTCGTGAAAATGAAAGAGGTGACAACCCTCTTTCACGACAAGTTTCAAAAATATTTTATCGAATCTAATCAAAGACACATGTTGCTGTTATGAAATATCTTAAGTTATTGTTATGCCACACAATGAACCGTGATTTGACAGGACACAATGAACTGCCTTCTGTGCCATTTTTATCTCGAGTTCTTCATATACGGTTTTCTACTATCTGTAATTGTGTTTTTTAATATCTATAACGTTTTCAAAATATGGAAAAGTATAAAATAAACAAAATTTCCTAACTATTTAAGACTGTTTTTTAAATAAATGATATTCCAATGATTCTAACATCCAAGGGGAAACTGATTTGTTCCGCCTTTTCGTGAGTGTGTAATCATAATAGCAACGAGAGTTCGAATGTGATCATTATTCTAACAAATGATATTAACCATGCTAATTAAAACTTTAAAAATTTCTACCATTACTAAGATGCGGCAATTAGGCAACATTTTTAAATTTCACAGGACACTGGATTTAAAAAAACAACATATGTATAATTTGTTGTCAACGGGTTTTTTTCTTGAAATTTCGTTGAATCAGATAAAAAAATGCGTTTTCTTTGAAATTAAATCTGGGATTAAATATTTTACTTTATTGATTTTCGTATTTTCAACGTGTGCGATAGTTCAGGGGTATTTAAGACGAAAAAAGGCGAATGTGTATAAATACAAAAATAGTGGGTTCTCATTTATATCTATTTATTGGAAATGATTTACACAATTAAATTCCGAGCTGCTCAACCGATGACTTTAAGATTTTAAGGTAGTGAAAACTTCGCACGAAAAAATAAGAATGTTTTCAAAATTTTCTTAAATAATAATTTTACATTTAATCTGAGTTTTTTTTCAAAAATATTAATTAAGACACTAACATTTAGGGCTTACCGAACATTAACTAAAATTTATTTGTTAATTCCATCTGAAATGATGACGTCATTTAAAAAATTAGTACTTATTGATAGGACTTCAGTGACATGTAGTGTATTTATCAATTATTATGGTACCACAACTAAATCCGCGAAAATATTCAAGAATTCGAGTCATTAAAAGCAGGTGATTTTGATTAATTTTTGCATTGTATTTTATATGGGGTGTTCCGAAAATGACGGAAAAGCTGGATGGTACGGTATTAAGAAGGGTAAAGAACTAGAAAAAAAAAAGTTTAAAAAAGTCACCAACCAAACTTTTGAAAATATGTATTAAACATTAAAGTTGAAGAATTAATTTCGTAATTCCGATTTCTTTTAATGAATTTTTTACTGTTGACAGATGTCATTTTTAACATTTTTTTCGGAATTTAGACTGTCATAAAACATGTCAGAATTACGTACGTCGATGTTTAATATTTACAAAAATTTGGTTCAGGGATTTTTTAACCATTTTTTGAGTTTTTCAGAGCTTCTTAATAATGTGCCATGGACTTTATCCCTCAATTTTTAAACACCCCATATATTGTAGTTTTTTGCGCATTTTCACTATGGAAATTTTTACATATTTTTGGATACGTTTCGATTTTTGACGAATTTTGGCGAAATGTATTTTTTGTTACTTTTATAAAAATTTTGAAAATAATGCTTTCCAATAAGCATTGAAAAGAAATTGTACATTATAATAAATAAAAAAATAAGAACTTTGTCAAAATTTTGTTTCCTCGCTTGTGGTTTTAGGTCTGTGAGTTGTAAAAATGATTTATCAAATTTTACAGGTTATTTAGGATATTTTGTATTGCGAAAATATCCAGGAATTGAAATCATCAAAAGCAAGTGATGCTGATTAATTATTGGCTATTTTATACAGGGTGAGCTCGATGATACGTTGTTAAGAAGGTTCTGGAAAACTCGAAAAAAATAGTTAAAAAAATCCTTCAAGCAAATTTTTGAAAAATACGAAACTTCGAAGTTGAAGAATTAATTTCGTAATTCTGCAATGCTCAAATGTGAATTTAATTGACAATCTCAAATTCCGACAAAAATTGTCAAAAATGACGTTGTGGATCGTATTCTAGCAAATTATAATTAAATTATTAATAACTAATTATTATTTAACTATCTATTACACGTGCAGTTTATTAAAACAAATCAGCATTACGAAGTTAATTCTTTAACTTTGAAGTTTAAGGAGTGTTTTCAAAAGTTTGGTGCAGGATTTTTAAAACACCCTGTATATTGTAGTTTTTTGGCTACGTTTCGATTTTTGACGAATTTTGCCGAAATGTGTTTTTTATTGTTTTTATAAAAAAAATAAAAATTATGCTTTCCAATAAGCATTTTAGAAAAATGTGTGCATTATAAACAAAAAAAAAAAACTTTGTGAAAAAGCCTCCTTTGAAATCTGTTTTCTCGTTTGTGGTTTTAGGTATGTGAGTTATCCTACAAATGATTTATCAAATTTTACAGTTTATCTGGGATATTTCTAAAACTTCAGGGCCTACCGAACATTAATTAAATTTTTTTTTGTTCATTGCTTCCACAGAATTGATGACGTCATTTCAAAAATTAGTAGTTATTGATAGGGCTTCGGTGACACGTAATTTATATATCGATTATTAATGGTATCGCAACCAAACTTGCGAAAATTGAAATCATCAAAAGCATTTTTAGCCATTTTATACAGGGTGATAAAATTTCGAAAAAAAAATGGCTAAAAAAATCCTTCAAGCAAATTTTTTAAAATATTAACTTCAAACTTGAAGTTGAAGAATTTACAATTGAAAAATTGTCAAAATTGGCATCTTTTCACAGTAAAAAATAACGTATTATTATTTAATTATTAATAACAAATTGTTTAACTGTCTATTAGATATGCAGTTCAAACAAATAAGAATTACGAAATTAATTTTTCAACTTTGAAAGTTTAATACATATTTTCCCAGGATTGATGCAGAGATTTTTTTAACCATTTCTTTCGATTTCTTCAGAGCCTTCTCAACAACGTACCATCGAGCTTGTCCGTTATTGTTTTTATCACCCTGTATATTGTATTTTTGCACAATTTCGTTTCGATTTTTGACGAATTTTTATAAAAATTTCGAAAATTTTACATTCTAAGAAGCATTTTACAAAAAGTAGTGCATTATAAACAAAAAAAAAAAGAGAACGTTGTCAAAACTTTGTTAAATAGGCTCTTTTCAAATTTATTTCCTCACTTGAGGTTTTAGGTATGTGAGTTGTTCTGAAAATGATTATCAAATTTTACAGTTTATCGGAAACGTTTCTCAAAAATATTAGTTAAAACACTAACATTTAACTCTTAGGGAGCATTAACTAAAATTTCTTTGTTCATTCCCTTCACAGAATTGATGACGTCATTTTAAAAATTAGTATTTATTAACTGGACTTTGATGACACACGTAATTTATATATCGATTATTATTATTAGTTACAATCAAATTCGCGAAAATATCCAAGAATTGAAATCATCAAAAGCAAGTGATGTTGATTATATGTACAGGGTGATCAAAAATGACGAATAAGCTCGATGAAACGTTATTAAGAAGGATCTGAAGAGCTCGAAAAAATGGTTAAAAAAAATCCTTCAAGCAAATTTTTGAAAATATTAAACTTAAAAATCTATTTTCGATAAAAATTGTCAAAAATGACATCTGTCAATAGTAAAAAATGACGTGGATCGCATTCTAGCAAATTATTATTAAATTACCAATGACGAATTAATCAACTGTCTATTAAACATGCAAAGAAATCAGAATTACGAAGTTAATACTTCAGGTTTCAAGTTGATGTTTTCAAAAGTGGTGCAGGGATTTTTTAACCATTTTTTTTCGTCATTTTATCGTTTTATCCGTCAATTTTTGATCACCCTGTGTATTAAATTTTTTTGCAGCTTGGATATTTTTACATATTTTAACATACGTTTCGATTTTTGACGAATAAGAAGCATTTTAAAAATGTTATACTTTTTGCTTTATTAAATCTGAAACTGAGTTAGTATTAATGTGTAGATAATTTCATATTTTGGAAATTCCCGGAAATGTTCGTTTCAAATAGTAAGAATGCCTATATTGTTGTTGTCTGCTGGAAATAAATTATTATTATATTGTAAATATCTTTAAAC